GCTTGACATTGCATAATTTATCTGTCTTCAGTTTATACTACACTTACATACATGTACACGAAGTATTCGGTGAAGTGGCACTGAATATATACGTTGTTGAATATCATATGGATGATTTGTTTTATTATTTCATTTCACTTTCAATTATTTGAATGCTTTTGTCAAGATCTGCAATAATTCTATTCCTGGTACGTACGTTAATGACTTTCAAGTTGTGTGTGGACTGAAGAACCATAACGTACTAAGAATAGGAGGTTAATTTTTGAGAATTATTGAGATGTGCATGTACTTTTGGAATATTTCCATTATCCCACCCATGTGTAACAGGCCGTGCAGATTCATTTTACATGGATAATGGACAAGAAAAAGAAATTGTTTACTTTTCTGAATGTTTCATTTTTTGTACATAGCAGGCCAAAAAATGGAGTGATTGTAGAAGAGGAAAAGAATTTCATCAAGAGTGTAAAAATTGTTTCAATGCTATGTAGCTGGATATTTTAATACTTTTTTATTTACAACCTTTGAATTATTAATGTTAAAACTGAATCATTTATTATCCATCTTTAGAATTCCGTTGATCTCTGTTGTTAGTAGTTTTTTAAGTATTAGCATCATTATCAGGCTGTATACACTTAGTAATTGAAGCACATTTTTGGGTGGGGCGAAGGACCCTTCTCTGTAAGTTCATTGTCCCTGTTGTGGGATAATTTTTGGGCCCCATCTTCCGCTGCATCCTAAAGTTGTAAAATCTGTTATCTCATTTGGCATTTGTAATTAATGTTCTACATACACATAAATTATCCTTCTTTATTATTTAACATGGTGCAGAACAGAGTTGCAAATGTGCTTCAGTTTCGAATGAACCGAATTGTTCACCAGTTTAAGTATTTAAGAGCACATAAGTGTATTTATGTACATAAATGAGTTTACGTGATCTAAATACGTATAAAATTGTGTATTTTTATTTTGTGTGAAGTCATGTGTCCCGAAGAGATTTTCTATGTTTTATATTTAAGCGCCCTTTAGCTACGGCTATTAGCCGTATCCTTTTCAAAATAATTTTTGGCTCCGAAAAATGTGGTTTACAAATTTTACCCACCTCCACCCCCTCAATCCTTCATACTTATTGTTATTGTAGAAAATACATGTACTAGTTTCTCTTGTATAAGGTGTCAATTGTTATTGATGAAAAAAAAAATATGTACTAGTTTTCTTTTGCATAAGGTGTGGGGTATATTTTGGGCCATATCTTCTGCTGCATTCTGAAAATGTAAAACCCGTAATCTCATAGTGCATTTGTAATAAATGCTCTATACACACGCACATCTTCTTTATTATTTAACATTATGCAGAACAGAGCTGCAAATGTGCTTCAGGTTCGTATGAACTGAATTGTTCATCATTTCCAGAATTTTAGATTAAAATCTTATCTGTAATATCATTATTTTTGGCACACAGAGCTTGTGGCGTAAAGTTATCAAAAACTTCATTAAAGAAGTTGGCAAAAGAATTGAGAAAAAACGATTCATATACAAAGAATATTACTCTCGACAAGTTATATTGTTAAACCCTTATAAATATCATTCTAAATATTTATTTTACTTATTATTATATTATTATAAAAAGTCCAACAAAAGAACTGTTTATTACATTGGTCTAACAATTTCAATCTTGACCGGTCTTACATAAGAATTGGTAGACCACAACGTCACTCGTCTGTCAGGTCACAAGTAATTAATCATCGTTCAATATCGACGACGCGAAAATAGCCGAAGTTATAAGCAACAAGAGTTGTTGCTAACAGCAAGATAAGGAAGAAGGGAAGAGTATGTTTTGTGATAAATCATTTTTGTGATACAATAGATATATAATTGATTTTGTTCTTTCTCAGCTTGATGTTTTATATTTACTGACGATGCCATAATTTTCCATATAAAATAATTGATAAAATAGCTTGTATTGATTAAATTGATCAATCTTTAGTGAGCTGGGAAGGGAATAACAAAACAGTTATAGACTGGGATTCGGGCAACGTATGATTTGTTGGACCTAAAGGTGAAAATGTTGCCCTTGGTCTGCGGCCCCGAGCAACATTTTCATCTTCAGGTCTAACAAATCATATGTTGCCCTCATACCCAGTCAAAAACTGTTTAATATTGGTCTGGTGGACGTGTAAGCGCTCGTAAAATAATTAACGTCATAGATGGCGTAGCAGATAGACTGAATAGGTATAAGGTCGCAACCTGTGGGTATTTCAAAGATGTGGGAGTTCTCTTGGTATCCATCGTACTACTGTATTTCAGATCTGCAACTTTGCTAATTGATATCCTTGGTTGGCTTTTGTAAATTCGAATAATGACAATAAATAACTAAGAAACCTATATATATTTTGATGTCTTTTTTTTTTACTCTCAAAATACTTAAAATACGAAATTAAGTTCAAAACAACAATTTATGAGTGATGATAAATAAAAATTCAGATAATGTTTTTGTACACTGGCTTATCAATTGAAATTAAAATTAGATAACATACAAAATAAAGAAATAAATGTTGATAGAATTTTCAAAAGAAATTTTCTTTACAATCACATTTTTTAAATTACTTATTGCATTACAGACAAAAAAGGAATATCGAAATCAATACAAAAAATAGTACCGAGATCATATTAATAGTGCAGCTTAAATTTTATTTGTTTCTGATATTAAAGAATAATCCGAATCAAATCCTTTTTATATAACTTTATTAGGCATAGGGTTCCACTCAGTCCTCCATGCTCGCACTACTCGTGCCGGATACATACTGACACATCACCCACAATAGGCAAAATTACTCCTGTATAAAAACTCTAACACACAACACACATTCAGAGTTGCTTCCCTTGCATCATATCTACACACTACAATACCTCCTTTTCTAAGATTTACAAATCTCAAAATTAAAGATTCACTGAATTACTGGAAAGAAATTACTGTCCAATAAATTGCTAGAAACCATTTACAATTTAAAGTCTCAGATACAGAGAACTCAGACTCAATCAGTCATATTCACAAGGAAATAAAATTTAAATTTCAAAGTCCTCAAAACGTTAAGGTAGTTTCCTTATACGGTTAAACCTTTTCCCGTTCTGAGATACTGGAGCAGAGGACGGATAATTATCGCTGATATCAGTAGACAAAGTAGAGTTTTCTGTACAAGTTTATTCGGCTTAGCATGATACGACGTAACATTTTCATCCTTTCGCCCGAGTGGCGCAGTGGTTAGAGCGTCTGTTCTAGAGTCGTTAAAAGAAGTCGATCCTTATGTTGCGGGTTCTAATCCCACAGTGGGAGGCGGAGACAGATCCTTCGGACGAGACCGTATTTTAACCGATATCCCTTGTCGCGGTAGAAACTGGCCTAAATAAGATACCTCACTGCTCAATGACATTGAGCGTCAAGCATACGAAAAAATTGTAACTCTCCACCGGTAAGTATTGGTGTCTCCATATGAGTGAACATTTTTGAGAGGGATGTTAAACAACATTCAATCAATCAATCCATTTTATCTTTGATTGCTTTCTTCAAGAGGAATGAATCTCCTTGCTCTAAATGCAATTCACTGCACCATATTTCTTGTCGATATAAAGCTTGTTTTTTGTATTTGGAATACACATCTTTATCACACACTCTTTCATCATAAACGTTTTCTTGTAGATTTTTAACCTACAGAAGCTTTGTTTTCAGTTTATGAAGGAATATAAATTCTACAAGTGGAACTTCTGTTGTATTATGAGGAACTGTTCGGTTTATGCAAATAGAAATTTCTGACTTTTAAGCTTTAGTATCTGCTTGTGCTATCTGAATCCTTTTCATCAACGATCTGTTTTGTCGTTCTAACTTCCCGTTTGCTAACGGTTTAAATGTTCGATGCTTGATACAGTTATATGTCAATTAATCCTTGAATAACTTAGACCTGGCTATGGGCACATTATCAGAAGTTATTTGAAAAGGAAGTCCATGTCGACAATTCATTCTCTCCAGCGTATCAATGAATCCCCAACTCGTTATATCCTTGGTAATTTTCATCTCGTATAATATCCGATGTAATAATCAACAACATACTGTCCAGATGTGAACGGTACAAGGATGTCGATATCTTATTCATGTCATGATCCTGTTTGTAAGGGTGTCGGAATGATTAGTTCTGGTTTCGGGTATGCACGGTAATCTGGCATCCATGAATCGATTTCACGTACTTCTCCACTTCCTTATCCATATCAGGCCAACAAACTTTAGTTCTTAATTGCTTAAAGCAATATGAGCTGTATCTTTGAAAACTTTATTTTGATTGTAAAATGTGCTATTTTGATTAATTTGTATGTAATTTAAATTCTTATGACAATAAGTCCAAAATAAAATTTAAAAATGTAACATAAGAAATATTTCTTTACAACCGAATATACAGTTTTGTTTTAGAAATCATTATTATACAGGACGACAATAATTCAATTTTGCTTCAATCAAAGCTAATAAAAAATTTTGCATCGCAAATATGAACAACGGAAGTTTAAAATGATTTATTTTTCTGTCATTTAATTAGTTAATTACAAATTTGCAATAAAAATTTCCGATGTCAAACATGCAGCTCATATTGCTTTAACTGCTGTTTTGAATCTAAATGACCCTGGTGAGCTAACTGTATGCACCGCTTCCTCAGATTTCTCGGAATCACTATTCTGGATCTACGTAACACCATGTATCAAAACAACAAAGTTCATCTCGGAATGGGTAATAATCAAAAACAAGTCTTTCTCTAATACAGACCGTGTTAAACCAATTTTCATGTGAGTTGGGACCAAAATTGTTAATGTTTTGGTTTTTTTTAAATCATGCAAGACTTCCAATTGAGTTAGAGTATGGTTACTACAGCGTTTTATATCAAAACAAAAGAAAAAGGGATAAAACGAACATTGTTTTCGTTTTTTTTACCCTTTTATCTAAGCAATAAACGCAATTTTTAAATTGATATAATCACAACTTCAAAACATTACAGAATCACTATTTAATAAGTATCCCATTCGCATAAATATGATAATTCAAGTTAATGCGTTAAAGTATCACCGATCATCATCTCTAAAAGGTACATCATCCAGTGCTGACATCATTACGCTATTGTTCCTAAAAGACAGAATACATGATCATGAATAGTTAAATTATATCGTTCTCTGCTGTTTGTATGGAACATTCCAGTCAGAATACGATTGAAGTGTTATTAACAGTGATTATTATCCTTCAGAATTATACAGTCAATCTGATTGGTTAAAAGCATGTCACGTGAGGTGAGACAATTCGTGATGTCTCCCTCACGTGCAGGGTGACAACTGTTGTCACCCTCCAGATGACAATGAAATAGCGTAAACGAGCAAGCAGGGTTACAACTGCGTTGTCGCCCTTTGAATGAAATTACACTGGTTTAAGCGAGATAACTCATTTATGATTATACATGTCATATAGTATTACTAATATGCGGGATCGGTAAACAATAAATTCTAACGATGACGTCTGATCGAGTTGTCTGTTGACATATTTTAAAAGTATGGAATCAGAGCAGAGACGGAGACACAAAATTAAGGTTTGGTTAATATTTTCTACTCTATCTAATTGATAATTAGATTCTTCAGGATAATAAAACTATTATGGACTGTTTAGACGGGAGACATCACCAGTTATCAGGTCTGAGTAGGGTTGTCACCCTCGGGCGCAAGCGCCCTCGGGTGACAACCCTACTCAAACCTGATAACTGGTGATGTCTCCCTTCTAAACAGTCCATAATTGTATATTAAGAATGCAAAAACCGTCAGTAAAGAAAATAAACTTTGCTAGATGCTGATTATATGACCTAAAAACACATTAACATCAAGATTTTAGACAATGTAGCTACTTTCGGTGAAACAATGGCAATACTCAGAATATGCTCTGAGAACAAATTTCCAATGCATTAAATATCAGATACGTATAAAATGATAACCAATGATTTGTGGTCGGATGAAATATACGATACATTCGATACAAAGCACAGTTTGTGAGCTGAAAAGTTCAGTAAACATGATTTGTGTGCATGGTTGTAACGGCGTTCTGCATTTTATTCTATTTTCGAGTCGTAAGGCATAAAAATACACAGCCCATTAACAAAAAAATACTATATTAATTAGCTATAGTTTACTATAGTTAACTATAGTAAACCAAAGTTCCAAGGTTTTCATTTTGGTTATCCAAAGTTCCAAAGATTTTACCATTATGTAGTAAATTTAATTTCAATACTTTTTTAACTATAGCTAATCAAAGTTCTAAAGTTTTCAGTGTATCAAATTTAAATTCTTAAGATTTTACTTATAAAACTATATTATTATATAATAATTATTATTATTATCAATTATATAACTTATAATAAAATTCAAACTAAACTTATGGATGATTTTATTTAAATTCAAGTTTTATAGTTCACTATCAATGATTTAGAAAGGAATTCATGTTACTTTTCTTCATCACTCTCATGCAAAACCTTACGTAACGTCAAAAGTGCGTTAGATGTACAACTTTCATGATTTAAAGGTACCTATTATGTTGTCCAAATCTTTTCAAAATAAGGTGCATTATTATAAAGCCAATCAAAAGACCAATAATTAAACCAGAAAAATCTGATCCTACTGCAGCGCCAACAATCTTTTCAACTAAAGAACAAATATAACATTTAAATATAAATAAGGTGTATCTTTGCAACTTAATAACAAAAATCAAAATCATAAAGCATATACAATTTCTTTAAATATTTACAAAAATTAATAAAATCACAAAAATTTTAATTAATACAGGTTCATCAATTTGAGAAAGATCTATTAGTAAGAATAATCAAAAATGCAAAATACCTTCTTTTCAAAATGTTAAAGTATAAGTAAAAAATAAAACAAGTTTATCTTTTAAAAAAGATATGTGAGCTAGCGCCGTAGCAATTTTTAAACAGAGAAAAGAAGGTCCGTGATCAAGTGATTTATTTTGCTGAATTCTTTAATTTTTATCGAGGCGTGAGTGTAATAAAGTTATAATTGTTTTGTGAAGTGTATTTTATACACACATAGGTAAAAAAACGATAGGGTGTTGACCTATTGGAGTTTTGGCACAACGGAACATTGATGACCTTTACTGGAGAGAAAGGGGGGATCGTAAAATATGGGAAGATGCCGATTGAAGCATTGCATGAGATGGTTTTAGGGTGATATTTCGTAGCAATGTAGCAAAGAAAATACAAGGGAGTTAAAAGGAATATAGAAATAACTCAAAGTGTATGTTGTTTAAAGAAATCCAGAGAGTTCCGAATTTGAAGTTGTGAAGTAGTTTGGTCCTTTGGGTCATCTTTGTCCAGAACTGTTACGTTTTAAAAAGCCATACACATAAGATTTTTTTTAATATAAATAATGGATTTATTTGTTATTTTAAGTGTAAATTCTTGTTTCTGGAATTTGTAAGATTGGCTGAATTGACCAATCAGAAATTAGAGTCTATCTTTAGTTAGACGTAAGAAAAACAACTCCCTTAATTGTCTTTGTTTAGAACAATCAAATAATGACTCGGGCTTTTCCGTCAGAAAAGAGAGAAAATTGAAGTATTGCAATTATGTAGTTATCTTTAAACTGTAAGCTACACAATAAATAAATTATTAAACATGTTAAATGATACAACGAAATTGTTATTGTACGGTCTATCTATAGTAGTTTTCACAGTTTTCCCAGAATGCACCACCATGAAGCCGAGCATGCGTATTTAAGGACTTTGGAATAACGTAGTTGCTAGCTCTCGAGAGCGCTAGCAATGAATGTAATAAAATAGGGGTCTAAAATACAAATACATCACCTCAATTCAGAGCTATTAAAACTAGAGGTACTGTGAGCAATGAGCTTACTAAATAATACCCCCGCTTCTTATATGAATACTAGAGGTACTGTGAGCAATGGGCTCACTAAATGATACCCCCGCCTCCCATATGAATAAAATGGCAGTGTCCATTACATGTTTTGCTCTGGAAAATCCAAAATATATGTCAGATCAAAAAGTAAAATAAGAGGTGCACAATGGCAATATATAATAAAGATTCCGTGAAAGTGTCATAAAATTTCCTTCAGTGGTATGAGAGGAGTTGCGGCTAAGATATGGGTACCTCAAAGCGTAACAGACGGATGGACAGATGTATACACCGACGGACAGACGGACGGACGGAAATACCGATTACTATATAGCCTCCCGCTTTTCAGGCGGGGGTATAACAATATCTTAATATGAAGATTCAAAAATACAGACTTCATAATTTTCAGCATAAATGAATGTAAATTTATGTTACCTTTGTCTGATCTGGACAGCTCAATAATTCCTTGAAGAGAAAAGACCATTATCATGGCTTCAAGTTGATATTTTATTAAAGAAAAATCAAAATTTTATGTAGAATTGTGTCAAGAATAAAAGCAATAAATATATTCACGATATTAATTTTGCTGAGGCATGTACTTACTTATTTTGAACATAAGTTTGAAGGATTTAATTATTTTTTATTTTGATAAGGATGCCGGGCACTCTTTGATCAGAAAGTCGCCCCCCTCCCCCCCTCCCCCCCCCAAAAAAAAAAACAGCTATAGTGTTCTATTTAAAAAGTGTAGATAATTCTATTAGGCGAATAGAGAAGCTTTTCATTTAAACAGTGTTATCTCAAGATATATGTGTCTAGATAAGCATATGTTTGTAGATTAAAATTATTTCTTAAACAAAACGTATTTTTCAGTTAGACTTACCTTGAAATTCATAACAAATTTTCTCCTCGGCGTTGTAAATTTGGTTGTTTTTACAAGCGCATGTATTGTTTTTTGAACAGCTCCGCCAATAAAAATACACTGTTTGTTGAATTTGCATTCTTCACCATATGAAAAGCATTTTTATCCTATAACAAGAATAGATATGGGTTACCCCATATCCAAAGATATTTGACTTTTAGATTTAATATGTTTAACAGTGTTTATAATGACGTTAATAAAAAAAAAACTGCACTGTCTAATTATGGAACTGTTGTAAATTTCGTGAGTCCATAGCATTACGGTCACCCAGTCTCCTAACAAACAGTACACATAGGCCTACATGTACCTGTGTCCGCAAGACCAACATAAGCCTTGGTCTACACACGTGCGATAGAGCTGTCAAACGCATCCAGCGAGCTCGGAGAAACACGTTTTTTTTTTGCCGAGAAGTTACGATGGCAGACAAAACTTTTCTTTTCTTAATTAGATCATATGAATACGAATTCTGATTAATAAAAATTATACAATCCCTGTTGAACTATATATAGTTTGTTCTAACATTTGCATCTGCAACAACTTGTGTTTAAAATGGCCGGGTTAGGAAAATCAGGACCGGGTCGGAAAATTCTAAACTGAAAACCTTTTTTGTTTTGAAAATTACTGAAATATACTAATGTATTCGTCGCAGAAATTGCTTACATTATTCAAGTTCTATATAAAATGGTATGCTGAACTTCAACACGAACCCGAATCTCCAACCCAGTTCTCGTTTTGCCACACAAACCCTACAGTTTACAAAGTGTACACACGAGCAGAATCCGGCCAGGGATTGAAAATTCCGTCATTTAATAATACACACACACAGAATGATTAATTTTTTCTTTAAGAAGAAATTGTATGATAATTAACGGACTATAAACATGTACTTAATACAATTGTTGATATAGTATTATCAATTCATCGGTGAAAAGATATGAATCGAAGAATGACCTAAATATTCTCTGTTATCAAACATGTAAAAAAAAAAAAGGCTGAGGAGGGAGCGAGCGTAGGAATATTGATATTTTTTATTTGCATTTCGGGTGGAAAGTGACTTTCTAATAATATTTTGACGTTATTTTTGATTTCTTTAACGTATGATATACACAACTTTACTCTTATCATGAACAATAATGTTGTATCTACTTATCATGATGGAACTATTTTGGTCGGACCAATTTGTGTGAGCTGCCGCTGAATACAGTAATATATCTTGCATAAATAGTATGCACTGATCGAATATATTAAAAACATTTATGGATACTGATAGTTCTTGTATCGTTATCTTATTATTTCCCTTGGAATCCTCTCCCCGTGGGAGGCCCGTTGATTCTGGTGTATCACCATTGCACATGCATGCAAGATAACGTCAGTCTCCATATTTATTTTTCGCGGTAAACATGTTTACAATTTTCTGATGAAGGTTTTACTGCGTTTCATGGGATATACAAGCCGTGATAAATCACCTATGTTTGCTTACTTATATATTATGAAGCAGTGATCTTTCTGTGAAATCATTGGATATATATTTTGGTACACTTCGATGGACGGATCCGACCACTTATGCGATGGCCACTTGTCAGCTTATGCTGACGGCGAGGAATTTCTCCGATAAAGATCACAAGTTCAACCGCTGTCGATTAGGACCTAAACGCTATTATTTCGTAAGTGAACTGTGTAAATTATGCATTTATCATTGAACTAGGTTGTGAAGTGCTAATTAAAACGACATCAAAGTTTTGGGGGTATTCCAGCGTCTATAAATAGCCAACGGTTTGTAAACAAAACGATGACGTGCCTGACCTATCTTATTCGTCAACACTGCGATCTGGAGACTCAAACGGCACCTCGACTTGACTATTTTGAGTTTATTTACAGACTTTAAAACGGTGGATTCATAACAAAACTGAGTGACATTTGTTACTTGGCGATTTAAAATATGTGACCATGGGCTAAATTCCAATTATCATAGAAAATACTAGATCTACATCGACTTATGCGAATTTTTAGAGATGACCGGACGATTCCTGGCCATACAAAGGAAATGAACCACATACTTTTCAAATAAGGTGCGACTGCAATCAAGGAGAAACTATTCAATAAAATAATTCATGGAAATATACACTAGCAACTTCGAATGGCATGCCACTATGATGTTTCTGTGGGAAGAACCATGGCTTGTTTACATGATGTTCAATATGACTAAAAGAATGCTGACCCATTCCTTGCTCTATACAGGATGACGAAATGGGTCCAGTTGGAACCAAAGGAGAACAAAGACTAGAAATTTTATTTCAGCACAGGAAATTTGAAATATCCTTTTCAAAAAAAGATTTATATTATAATCATAAGGTCGACTACTTCTCACATATTTTAAAAAAAAAAAAAAATTCCCCCCAATTCATATTAGTTTTTAGAAAAGTTGCAGGTCATGCTAATAATCTTATTATAAATAGTAGAATGTAAATATCATTTTGTTTACAAATAGTGGTAATGAATAAGAAAAATTGTAGCAACGACACACGTACGATATAATAAAATGCTGAGAAGGATTGTGGCCCTTGCAATAAATACATGTATATCAATTATCATTCAATGATCGATAACCTATGATATTAATATGGATTATGCGGTTAAAATATCCCCCCCACCAATTAATTAAAGATCTTGATAATTTTCTTCGATTAAGAATTGAGACTTTTTATGAGTTTTAAAACAAATCCATTTTTATGATCACAAATAGCAATTAGCATGCAAAACTTCCATGGATGTAAAACAAGGTGAAGTGGTTCTAATATGATTTCCCGACCAATAATTAGTTCATTTGTTAGAAGATTGTACATCGAACATCAAACATGGTATACATGTTTCAATGTTGTTTATGTTATTTTATTTTATGTTTATTTATTTATTTCTTTTGCTCAATGCTGTAGACATACCCCTAGATACCCTAGTTACTGAGTAAGTAGAGCATTGGACTATTGATACTGGGGTATTAAATCAAATTCCCGGTCATTGTAAATGTACTTGCGGATATCAGTCCATCCACTTCCACACTCATACAAGCATACATGGGGTTATGTAAGCTTATAATAGTTATCCATCATCAAAGTGTTCCCCCTATGTTAATGTATTGTTACTTAGATGATTAAAAATAAGCATGATTAAGATATTCATGAAAATGGCAACTAAGCAATATTCTGCCATGATGCTACATGCACCTAGGGTTTGAGGTTTAGTTGGATCCAGTTGGCTGTGGCTACTTAATTATTGTTCAATAATTACTTCATTATTAGATCAATTTAATCAGAACATCTATTGATTTCTTTTCTTATTACATAAAGAGTGTCAAGCATATTTGGCAAATTTACATTCTTGACTAAAGTTTCTTTGCTTATGGAATGCCACTTGCTTATGCAGTGCCTCACATACAAGTATCATGAAGTTAGCCTTCGAGGCTTTTTTTTTTTTTTTTGTCTTAATGTAACTTTGTTTGCTTTACTAAATGTAGTTATTGTTGGTAAAAGTTTTAAAATACTTGTTGTGATACACTTGACTGTAAAAGCAAACATTGGTTATCGTTTATTTATTCAAATTATAGATTTGGATACTTAACATAGTACTAAATTTTGGTGAATATTGATATCAGATACAGTTCTTACTAAGAGACATAGTACATATATATGTTCTATTGTATCAATGGCTTAATTTAATACATTTTGATTCCTTGCGTGATCTGGCTTGAAAATGTAATATTCATCAGTCTGGCTCAGTGTATGTTAATTCTCCTTGTAGGTTTGATTATGGAAGTAAGCTATTGTTCTGATGCAACTGGTAACTCTGAGTAAAAAATATATATCACAGGCCAAGCTTACTTTGTATTTTTGTATTATGGAGATTATGTGTTTGTTACCGTGAAAGGTTTTTTCACTTTATGGTCATAATTTTGGATTTTACATGTATGTATTTTACATGTTTTATAATTTTAAAAAATTTTATCTCAATTTGAGTAAATTTTTTCGCAATATAGTCTGGTGTTGTGTGTTTTTCTGCTACTTCAATACAAGGTAAAGAAGCATTTACTGAGCAAATCATTTCGGTTATGATGAAAGAGGAAGGCATAAATATCACTTTTGGTATGTGTAACTAATGATTCAATTATTCTAGCTCATATGAGATACAGCACTTGTTGAATAATGATTGGAATCAAACCATAGTTTTGAGCAGAGCAATGACTTTCTATGATGAATCATTTGTGGCCCAGATTACGATGTAAAATGAGACATAGCATTGACTATATATAAGAATCATTTTGTAGTTCTGCGTCAGAGATATAAAAAGTTTTTTTGTGTGTGACGATTCAGGTTGTTGGACTAGGAAGAAGACATAGCCCCTTTTGATTATGATGAATCAGTTCGCAGCTCTGGCTGCAATATGAATAGCACTGGCTATTTTATGATGATTCAATATGTAATGCTGGCTACAAAATGAATAGCACTAGCTATTTTATGATGATTCAATATGTAGCGCTGGCTACGAGATATAGCAATGGCTTTTGTATGATGATTCAATATATAGCTCTGGCTACAACATATACAAATAGCCCTGGTTAATGTATAATGAATCAATGTGTAGCTCCAGCTATGAGATATAGCACTAGCTATTGTCATTAGGGGCTATGATGTTGTGGTTTTGATTTGGTGTATAGTTTGATTTTGCTATAAATATTTTTGGGCATATATTACAATGGTTTTATTAATGTATTGAAGTCAAGTATAAAGCTTTGCAGTGTTGCATGTGCCTTGTTTTATTTAAAGGCTGTGTGACGATTCAGATTGTAGGACTAGGTAGGAGACATAGCCCCTTTTGGTTATGATGAATCAGTTTGTAGCTCTGGCTGCAAGATGAATAGCACTGGCTATTTTATGATGATTCAATATGTAATGCTGGCTACAAAATGAATAGCACTAGCTATTTTATGATGATTCAATATGTAGCGCTGGCTACGAGATATAGCAATGGCTTTTCTATGATGATTCAATATGTAGCTCTGGCTACGGCATATACAAATAGCTCTGGCTAATGTATAATGAATCAATGTGTAGCTCCAGCCATAAGATAAAGCACTAGCTATTGTCATTAGGGGCTATGATCTTGTGGTTTAGATTTGGTGTATAGTTTGATTTTGCAATAAATATTTTTGGGCATATATTACAGTGGTTTTATTAATGTATTGAAGTCAAGTATAAAGCTTTGCAGTGTTGCATGTGCTTTTTTTTATTTAAAGGCTGTTTTTCAATCCTAAAAAGTGTTGTAGATATATGTACACAGGTATACATGAGAACAGATGCTTCTGGCTTCATTTAAAATGGGCTTGCTGTAAAATAAAAAAAGAAGAAGTAAAAACTGGCATCGGTCAAAGTTATAGTTAGTCTGTACTACTTTTTGGTAATAGTTTAATAACTTTGAATTATACCTAAATCAATCTGGTGGTCTTGATACTTTGTCCCCTAATGTTGAGTTGTTGACAGGATATTTTGTGTTTTAGTTTTTCCTGAATTATTTCTTAACTATTGATTTTGATTCTGCATGGATTCTCAATGACAAATTTAAAGTGGTACTCGATTTATTTTACATAAAAGATGACTTTTTCGCTGAATGTATGACCTCAGCAGGGTCATATCGATATGATGCATTTTTCATATTTTCACATTAAAGGGTAACATTCATTATGATAGATAAAGTCACTTAATTTAACTGAATTAAAGCAACTTGCTTGTGATATTATCTATGTGTTGATATTTAGTATATGAAATGATGCTAGGGGCCTTTGGTCACACCTCTATCCTAGAAATGAGTTGTTGTCCATTTTTTCATAGGTTTGAGGTCAACGGCTATTATTTGTCTGGATATTGCTTATTGGTTTTGCTTTTATATTTAGTCTACAGACATGACCATGCAGACAGGGGCCTTTAGCTATGCCTGGATATGGGTTAATAACTATATTTTGATGTTTAGCTTTTGACCTTGTGGGCAAGGTCCTCAGGTCAAAATCGTTTTGTTTATAGTCAAACTTTTGATATTTTTTCTACCACCATAAAGACAGCTTCAGGTTACATGTGAATATGGTTTATTGGAAATCTAGTCTATGGCCATGAAGACAGGGGCTTCTGGTCACAAATGGTGATTAGATAAATTTGGAATATAGTTTATGGCCATGAAGACAGGGGCTTCTGGTCACAACTGGATTTTGGTGATTGGATAGATTTGGAATCTAGTCTATGGCCATGAAGACAGGGGCTTCTGGTCACAACTGGATTTTGGTGATTGGATAGATTTGGAATCTAGTCAATGGCCATGAAGACAGGGGCTTCTGGTCACAACTGGATTTTTGCGATTGCATATATCTGGAATCTAGTCTATGGCCATGAAGACAGGGGCTTCTAGCCAACCTGATATTGAATATTAAATATATTTGGATTCTTAGGCTATGACCATGAGGGCAGGGGCCTCCGGTCACAACAAGATATTAGTTATTTGTTTTATTTTATATCTAGTCATCAACCCTGAGGGTCTCCCAATCAGATCTTGATTTGCTTATTAGCTCTATTTCCACACATAGAATCTAACCACAAAGGTCATGGGCCTCTGGTCGCACATTGACAATGGATATTGGCTTCTTTTTCTCACTACTTTCTAACCATGAAATCAGGGACTTTTGCTTAAGATAAAAATGACGTAGATTCTATGTTTTCTTGTCAGAAGTGCTTCTAGTAACTTGAATACATGCCCTGGTTGCAGTACGTTTTGTATTTTGGAAATAAATAATGTTAAACCTACGTTTTTAACTATATGGCGGTGGATGGGGCGGATCAAACCCTTTGTGGCTTTGATCTGTGGCGGATGTTGCCCTATCTTTGACACTGTTTAGGTCTGAAATATGCATTCTGTTTACTGTACATTTTTGCGTACCTCATTGAATAATATTGTGAACTTAAGATCCTATGATGGTTTTTGCTATATGCGTTTGTTTCTATTACGCAATGTGTTTAATTGTATTGGTATTGTCAATTATACTATGTGTTGACATATGTTGTTTGCTTTGTCATTTATTTATTAATAAATGACCATTCAAATTGCAACACTGCGTTTTCATTTGTGTCAAACAAAGCACCGCCATATCAGGTATCTATAAAAGCATTTTTATCCTATAAAAACATTTATGGATACTGATAGTTTTTGTATCGTTATCTTATTATTTCCCTTGTAATCCCCTCCCTGTGGGAGGCCCCTTGATTCTGGTGTATCACCATGCACATGCGTACATGATAGCGTCAGTCTCCATATTTATTTTTCGCGGTAAACATGTTTACAATTTTCTGATGCCGCCTCCCACCCCTCCTCCATTTCCGAAAAAGCTTTCTTTGTTAATTTGTTAGGGCGATTGTTGCCCTCTGTTTTACTTTTTGATTTTAAATGTAGATTTAAAACATGCATTTCATTTCAGATTTTATGAGAAGGGCGGATGTTGCCCCATCTTTGACACTGTTTAGGTCTGAAATACGCATTCTGTTTACTTTTTGAATAATTTTAAATTTATTACGCAATGTGTTTAATTGTATTGGTATTGTCAATTATACTATGTGTTGACATATGTTGTTTGCTTTGTCATTTATTTATCAATAAATGACCATTCAAAATGCAACATTGCGTTTTTCATTTGTGTCAAACAAAGCACCGCCATATCAGGTATCTATAAAGACTGTCACAACTGACCACAAGTTGTGATGGATTCTTTCGATAAGAATTTACAAACCAGAATAAATAATATTTTGGAAGACCTCCTGTATACCAAGAAACAACAAGCAGGGTCTCCATGAGCTGTTTTACTGTGTTGCTCCCGACACAGTAAAATTTTCTCCGACACGAAACGATTCAAATTTTATGCGTGCGACACAGTAAAAATTTTGCCGACACAGTAAAATCTGTGATAATTAGAAAATCTAAACATGTAAAGTCTCTAACTAAATCTTTAATCAAACAATTCTACCGTCTTTCAATTCTAAACGGTGGACCACTTAATTACAAGGGCCTCACCTTGCTAGTCAATTATCTCCTAGACTCTTGCCGGACTTAACGCATCAGGGAACAAAGACAAATATCGGTAATTTGTTTTCACACTTCCATGTAACGGTTAATTGGTAGTTGCAAAAAATGCATTGTATTATTTTAAAAAATATATAAATATGTCTTTTCTATAGAGCCACGGCTCTAGAATAATGTTTGCAGCATAAACAGTCAAACATAACATCGTACAGAAGTCTTTCATCAATTAATGTGATAAATTGCTTAAAATTTTCAAAGTGTTCAAGGAACTCTTAAAAGTATTATACCATTCTGAAGTTTGGTAATTCGATCAAGAAAACTGACAAGTAATCACGGCAAATTTACTTTGAAAAATTTAAGTACAAGAAGTTCGACAGTATCGACCAGAATTTCCACTGCTCTTCAGAACATGTGTTTTTATTTTTATCAATATGCACGACCATACCATTTGTGTTACGGATTATCGATTTTTAAAAAGCATGTGTATGTATTCTTTTGTTATTATAATGAATATTGATTCAGTTGCAAATTTAACCGCGAAAATATCGCGAAATTTTAGTGTTTCGCGTAAACTCTGCAACACAGTAACATTTAGAATGAAGGAGGTGAAGCCTTTGTAATTAAGTGGTCCACCGTTTAGAATTGAAAGACGGTAGAATTGTTTGATTAAAGATTTAGTTATAAACTTTACATGCTTAGATTTTCTAATTATCACAGATTTTACTGTGTCGGCAAAATTTTTACTGTGTCGCACGCATAAAATTTGAATCGCAACTTTGTCGGAGAAAATTTTACTGTGTCGGGAGCAACACAGTAAAACAGCTCATGGAGAACCCTGATATCCTCATTAAACTCACCACGTAAACAAAACCATCCAGTCCAAATAAAGCTTAATATACAATTTCTGGTCACCTACAATTTTCATAGGATTTTCTAATAAAATATTCAAAACACATATCTGTTCAATATACTAGATTTGACAAACAAATAATGAAAGAAAACATGCATTTTTGCCGTTTAACGAGTAAATGAATTAGAGCGTAAATATATACATTCTCGCTATATAGCTAACAGTTTTACATAGAATATTGCTTTTTAAAACTAACAACAAAAACATTGTAAAGTAAAAAAAAACTCACTGAGCTGTGGCATTTTACACATTAAAATCATACTGTCGGCCCCAAGGTCCCGCTTTCAACGCCGCTACAAAACATCTCTGAATCCCAAGATCACACAGCAGGAGAAACATCTAGAACACACCCAAGTTCACACAGCATGGGTTATATAAAAGGCACACCCAAGATCACTAAGCATGGGTAAAGTATATCTCATGGCGTCCAGACCTCATCTGACCAACACTAGCCAACACCAAGTATAAATAACTGACCAAACTACTCAAACGGGTTCGACGAGTATACGTTGATAAAAATAGCAACAAGTACAACCCAGTGACCAATAGTGCATAAATGAAATAATCGATAACTCCTAATTCCCAAATAAAGATAACTCTTACCAATACCTGTACAATAAGCTAATATAAAACATTGATACAATACCACTTGTGACAATACCTCCCTTCTTAAGACACAAAAGGCAATTTTGTGACAAAAATGGAAAACTATGTACACAACAAAGTCTTTTTGAATACGAACTTACTCAGGAACAACACGACTGAGAAAATCAGCTCCAATATTATCTACACCTCTAATAACTTCAGTTCTAAAGTTGAATGCGTGTAGAAAAAGAGACCATCTCATCAATCTGCTGTTTGAAGCTTTAGTCTTTTGTAAATGAAGTAGTGGTCTGTGATCTGTCTCCACAATAAACGCTCTTCCATACAAGTAAGACTAATTTTTTTGTATAGCCCATACGACTACAAGACAATTTTTTTCCACAACAAAATAACTCTGTTCTCTGTCTAGCAGCTTCCAGCTTGCATACGCAACAGGGAATATGCGTCCGTCATGCTTCTGCATCAGCACTGCACCAACTCCATGATTAGATGCATCGGTTCTTAAGATGAATGGCTTCGTCAAATCTGGTAATCTGAGAATTGGACTGTAGAGCAACATAGATTTTAAACTCTTAAACGAATTATCATGTTCTTGTTTCCAGTCAAATTTGTTTGGAAACCCTTCTTGGTTAATTCAATTAAAGGAGCAGCAATAGTGGAAAAGTTTGGCACAAATTTTCTATAATAGCCAATCAAACAAAGGAAAGATCTAACCTGCTTCTTTGTCTCTGGCCTTGGTGCTTCTTGGATAGCTCTCAGCTTCTTGTTGGTTGGCTGTAAGGTACCTCCTCCAATAACATGACCCAAGTACTCGAGTCTCGTCTGCGCTAGCTCACATTTTGAGGGTTTTACTGTTAATTGCGCTCTCTGTAGTCTCTCCAGCACTTTTCTCAGTTCTGTAATATGTTCTCTAAAAGTTTCTGTATGAATGAGAATATTATCAACGAAACTATCAGTATGCTCTAAACCTTTTAGAATTTTCCGCATGAGTCTATTAAAAGTAGCTGCACTGTTCTTCATACAAAAGGGCATCACTTTAAACCTGTACAAACCATCTGGTGTTAAAAATAATGTTAAGTCTCTATCTTCTCTCGTAGGAATCTGCCAATATCCCTTACATAAATCAAGTTTAGAAAAGAAACGACTGTTACATGTACTAATTTTAGTCATGATTTCATCTGGATCTGGCATTGGTTCTGGATCAAAAATCGTTACCTTGTTTAAGTTACGAAAATTCACACATATTCTCTGGCTACCATCGGACTTCTTTGCCACGACAATCGAACTAGCATACGGTGATTCTGATGGTTCGATGATATCCATGTCAATCATATGCTGTATTTCTTCTCGGACTGCACTTCTGACTGCATACGGTATCTGATATGGTCTGTTTCTGATTGGTTCTTTGGTAGTGAGATGAACTTCATTCTGGATAACATTCGTTCTACCAGGTAGATCTGTTAAAACTTCCTGAAATTCATGTAAAACATTATTTATGTTTTCAAGCTGATCTGATGAAAGTGAATGATTTACCTTTACATCTGTGAATGATTCTGTTGCCTTCATTGGAAGAAGATGTAACAAATGTTCACTACTGAAGTCCTCTGTTTCCTCCGATTCCAAAATGACACAAGATGCTAGAGTTGTTGGCAAGTCTGTGTTCCTTTCCTCTCGAACATTGTATTTCTTCAATAAATTTGCATGAAACAAACATGTCCATTCATATCTATCTGGTAATCAGTTTGTCCTTTTCTATCAACTACTTTGAAAGGTCCTTTC